GGCCTCCCCCGCCCCAGGGGCCAGGCTGGACGCCCCGACGCCTGGGTTCTCGGGCCGCACTCGCGCTGGCGACCTTGGGCGAGTCCTTGCTCCCGAGGGCCTGGGAGTCGCTGCAGTAACAGGAGGAGGGGAAATCAGAGGGGGGACTCCGCGGGGGCCCCCTCTCTGAGGGTAAGCCCAGACCTAAGCCCCACCCAGACTTCATTCTGGACACTTCTCTTGTAGAGGGAGGAGGCAGTGAAAGCGGACTCCCACGACCGCAGCCCTTAGGCTGCTGGCCAGGGCACTCGGGTACCCCAGCTGCCTGACCTTGGGTGGGAACTCTTCACCCCCAACCTGTTTGCCCATCTGACAAATGGGAATGGGAAGGTGTCGAACCCATACACAAGCACTCATTGTGCGGTAAGGGGAGTGACCTGGCCTGGGAGGGGCTCCTCTCGTCCGGGTGCTGCTCCCCGGCCCTGGCAGTAACCTGGACCCCAAGCTGCACAATCAGCGGGTGGGACAAAGAGAGCCGCAAGGCAGCGGGGCAGTTTCCTGTGTGTGGCTGTTTGGGGGAAGGCCAAAGGGCAACTCCTGTGCATTCACAGATGAAGTAACTGAAATGATAGGCAGAGGAAAGGACAGTTTCACCCACTTATTTTTTATGTATTGGGCACAGATATTTATTGGGTGTTTTCTGTATTAAATACAGATACCCTGAAGTCAAGGGTAGAAGTGGCGAGTGGCACCGGGCCTGTCCTTATGGAACTTACATGCAGGCTAAACTGGTGTGCCCAGAGGGAGCCTAGAACCCCACGCCCAATCTTCACCCACACCGGGTCAAGATTTGTCTTGACCCTTTGTCTCTCTGAGGAGTATAAGATGAACAGACTTAAAAATTTCGACAAGTGGAAATCAGGAGGAAGGGCATCCCTGGTGGAACGGACTTCTGGGCAAAGGCACTGCGATGGGAACACGTGAGTCCAGTTTGGAGAGCAGGAAGGTCACCTGGTGTAACTGGACACCGGGTGGCTTACTCGAGACAGGTCGCAGAGGACCTGAACTTACTTTCTAGAAAGCAATGCATAAGGTCTGTGAGAAGCGACGCTTTAAAGACTCTCTCCGGTGGGTGGGAGTGTTCACAATGGCTTGGGGACAAAGGAGACCCTGGGATGACGAGTGAGGCGTGGGGGTTCCCTTGGAGAACACCACAGGGTCGGCCATGACTCGGGAGTTTCAACCGCATCTGTAGGAGGCGATCAGCACAAATCCTGTATCGCGGGAGAGTCATGGGACAAACCTGGTGCGGATCCTGTCCCAACTGTATCACTCAGTCTCTGGAACTTAAAATCTCCGGGACCTTAGTTGTTTAATATGTGCAATGTGCGTGCGTGCGCGTGCGTGCGTGTGTGCTGAGAACCAGGCCCTCGGGCGGCAGGTCCCCCGGATTTGGCAGGACGGCGGCGAGGCATTTCAGCACCAGGACGGAGGACAGCACCCGTGCGGCTAGGGCGGGTGGGAAGGAGGGCGGACGCTGGAGGAGGAGTCAGCAGCCCCGGGCTCCGGGGCCTGCCCGTCCGGCCTCCTACCTTCACCTCCTGGGGTGCCCGGGGCGGCGCCAGGACTTTGTGGGGCGAGGGGCACGGGGGAGGAAAACGAGCACTGGGAGAGAGGGTAGGAACCGGGGGCGGGGCTTGGTGAGAGCCGCGGCGCCCCATTCCCTTTGGACTGAAGCTTCGTCCGGACTCTGGTCTGCGCCAGCCTCCGCGGGGTTACCTCCCGGTGTAGTCGTGGCAGAGCGAGCGTCAGATACCCTACTGCGCAGGCGCGGAAGCAACTCTGCGCTCCCTCCACCTTAACCCACCATTGGCTGTTCGGGCTGCGAGCTAGCAACCCACTATCCAATCCGAGAGAGCTTCGAGCTGCTGCGCCTGTTTTTCCCCCTCCCGCCCGGAAGTTGCCTAGTGTCCAATCCGCTTCGGCGGAGGGTCCCGGCATCCAATTGGGAGAGGGGAGGGACGAGCCAGCGCGACCGAGGAGCCAATGGCAGGCAGCGGAGGGTGACGCGGGGCCTGGCGGCTGCGGCGGGGCAGCTGAGGGACGTGTCGGGCCGCCCGGTAGCCTCGGTCGGTGCTCAGCGAGCGGAGCTGCTGTCTGAGTAGTACTCGCACCCGCGAGGCGGCGCAGCGGGCCCTCGGGGGAGAGCGAGCGTGGCGGCCATGGCTTATCACTCGGGTTACGGAGCCCACGGTGCGTGGGGCGCGGGGCGGGCTGGCCGGCAGGAGGAGGGTCGGCCGCGCGGCCCGCTCCGCCCTGAGGGGCGGCGGACGTCGCTGCCCGGGGCGGCGGGTGTCACTCGGACTCCTGCGCCGTGCGACGCGGCGGCGCGCCCCGGACTTCGCCCTCTCGTCGCGATCCTGCGACGGGACAGTGACAGCACAGCTGGGCCTGGGCACGGGCGGGCTCCCCCGCCCGAACGCCCTTTCCCTGTGGTGGCCTTGGAAGGGCCCCTGACCGCTGCCCAGCGTGTCCGGGTACCCAGCCATCGCCGAGCCCACCCTGTTCATGGGGTCACGTCCCGCAGGGATTCTCTCCCGCTCTAGGCTTCTACTCACTGAGTTCCCTGAGCTCGCTTCCAGGAGCCCCGGGTAGGCGGCCCGGCGCCACCCACCTCAGCTCTTCCTGTCCTGCACTTTGCACCTCTCGAGAGGACCCCTCATCAGAGCTCTTCCTGGGTTAAGCCAGGTGTCCGTCCCCAGTTCTCGATGCCCAGGACCTAGGCTGCCCAGCCTGGGGAAGGGCCGTGCCGGGTCGCATGCTTGGGCTTCCCGACTGCTTACTCTGGCGCCTGCCAACCCGCAGGCTCCCAGCACAGGGCCCGGGCAGCTGCCGAGCCCCTGCCCCTCTTCGATGACACAAGCGGTGGTTACTCCGGCCAGCCAGGGGGGTACCCAGCCCCAGGAGCCGAGGTGGCCTTCAACGTCAACCACTTCCTTGGTGACCCAGTGGCCAACGTGGCTCTAGCCTATGGCAGCTCCATTGCATCCCAAGGGAAGGACATGGTGCACAAGGAGGTGTGCCCCCCCCCCCCGGGTGAGGGTGGCAGGACCTCTGACCAGGGCTGGGGCCCCGGGGGATCCCAGCTGACCCTCACTGCAGCTCTCTGGCGGGAGCACACAGAGGAGCGCTCTGAGGTTCGGGTACAGCTCGCCCGTCCTCCCTCTCCCCTTCCAGCTGCACCGTTTTGTGTCTGTGAATAAACTCAAGTACTTTTTCGCTGTGGACACAACCTATGTGGCCAAGAAGTTGGGGCTACTGGTCTTCCCCTACACGCACCAGGTGAGCTGGTGGGGCCCCTTGCCTGCCTGCGAGGCCAGCCCCGAGGTGCCAACCCTTTTTTCTCTTCTTGTCTTTCCCCCCGACTGGCCATTGCTGCCACCGCCAGAACTGGGAGGTGCAGTACAGCCGCGATGTGCCACTGCCGCCGCGGCAAGACCTCAACGCCCCGGACCTCTACATCCCCAGTGAGTCTTTGGCTGGGTAGGCGCAGGGACTTGGCTTGAGGCGCCAGTGAGGAGAGAGGCCCACGGGTTGGCTCAGACTGCGCCTGTGCTTTGGCATGTGGTCACCAGACAGCAGGGAGACGGATTTGGGCTGTCACCTGGGCCCCAGGGTACTGAGCCCTTTGAGACTGCTCTGCCTCTTGACATGACTGTGTCTGTCCTTGACATGACCACAGCCAGGGGCTCTGCCACTGCCAGCCATGGGAACGCAGGCTGCCCACTTCCGCTCAGTTAACTGGGGACCACGATGGCCCCACCGCGAGGGTGGCTGGGTGTGGGCCTGGGTGCCCAGGAGCACGCAGGGAGTCGGCTGTCAGCATCATCGGTGCTGCTGTCCTCCCGGGCCTGCCCGGGCACCTCCTCCTCTCAGCAGTGGCCACTCTCCTGGGTTCCCACACTGCTTGTCCGCAGGGCAAAGGTCGGGAGCCCCCCCCCCACTCTGCTGTGGCTGCCCAACTCTGCATCTGACTCCCCTCTGCCGTAAGGCTGCGCAAGGCAAGGCCCCTGGTGGGCCCTGGGGAAGGGTGAGTGGCCCAAGGCCCACCCTTAGGACTTGCGGGAGGGCAGCTAGCCCACCAGGCCAGTCACCACAGGCGGGGCACAGCGCCTCCCCCCGTCACCCCATTTACATCTGAGCCACCGATGTCTCTGCCGTTCCCCTCGGCCATGTCGACACCAACACTCAGCGTGTTCTCAGCCGCACAGGGTGGGGGAGCTGGTGCCTGCCTCCCACACTGTGCTCTCAGGGGGTCCATCAGCTCTGCCGTGTGCTTCAGGGGGGCGGAGGGCAAGACTGAGGGGTTGGGATCACGTGAGCAGCCCGTTTTCGTGGCCGAGCTTTCAGGAGAACAGCGGGTAGGCACGGAGCTGCTGCGCAGGCAGGCCGGAGCCACGGCCAGTGGCCGAGGCGGGGGCATGTGGGTGACCCGGGCGCCAGTGGCATCCTGGGCTGCCAGCAGCCTGTGTCTGGGCCCTGTAGTTCCCCTGAAACCAGCTTGGCCCCGCCTGCTGGGGGAAGCTGAGCAGTGGCCCAGGCAGGGTCGCTGGAGCTCTGAGCCGCGGCAGAGGGAGGCGCAGAGAAGGTGGGGCATTACACGGCGAGAGGGCCGAGCGGGCAGACACCCCCAACTGCGCGTGGGGGACCAGCATGTTGACCTGTGCAGGGAAGGAAGGTGGGGGCGTCCATGGCTTTGACGGCGCGGGGAGGGGGGTTGGGGTCGTGGCTGAGGCAGCCGGCGACAGCCTCTCTGGCTCTTGGCAGCAATGGCCTTCGTCACCTACGTGCTGCTGGCTGGGATGGCGCTGGGCATTCAGAAGAGGTCAGTGCTTACCCTGCCCTCATCCCACCAGCGCGCCCCCTTTGCCACCTGTCCGCATCTCCCCAGGGCGCTGGCCAGCCCCGGTGGCCAGGGCTCCCCCAGCGGCAGGCTGTGAACTCCCCCTTGTGGCCACAGGTTCTCCCCCGAGGTGCTGGGCCTGTGCGCCAGCACAGCGCTCGTGTGGGTCGTGATGGAGGTGCTGGCGCTGCTCCTGGGCGTCTACCTGGCCACCGTGCGCAGCAACCTGAGCACCTTCCACCTGCTGGCCTACAGCGGCTACAAATACGTGGGGTGAGCGGTGTGGGCAGGTGGGGGTGGCCCCTCCGTCCCCTTCTCAGTCTTGAGCTCTTCGCTCCCCGGGGACACCCAGGGCCTGGGTGGCGTGGGCAGGTGGTGACCAGGAGTGGGTGCTGGCGGGCGGGGTTGGGCTGGGCTGTGAGCCCTGGCGGCTGAGGCCACTCAGACCCGACCGGCTGAAGTCTCCCGCTTTCACTGCACCCCCAGGATGATCCTCAGCGTGCTCACGGGGCTGCTCTTCGGCAGCGGCGGCTACTACGTGGCGCTGGCCTGGACGTCGTCTGCGCTCATGTACTTCATCGTGAGTCTGGGGCTCCCCTCCCCTCTCCTCTCCATCAGGCCAGAGCTGGGGTGCTGGGGCCCAGCTGCCCTTCCTACCCCACTTTAGCTCTCCTCCCTTCCAGGTGCGCTCTTTGCGAACAGCAGCCCTGGGTCCCGACAGCATAGGGGGCCCAGCCCCCCGGCAGCAGCTCCAGCTCTACATGACTCTAGGGGCTGCAGCCTTCCAGCCCCTCATCATCTACTGGCTGACCTTCCACCTGGTGCGGTGACCCCTGGGCTCCCTGGCGCCAACCGCCTTACATTGAAGATTTGGTTTCCTCGATTTTGTTTGACCCTTGTTTCTGGGGCCTGCAGGACAGCTGCTGGCACCCCTGGGCCTGGGTCCTGCCTGGGGGGGCTAAGCTTGGAGCTGTCGAAGAGGGGACCCAGGAGGGCTTTCTGGCAAGGCTTTCACCAGGAACCGCTGTCCGCATGGCTGGGGACACGAGGACAAGCGGGACGGCTGCTAAGAAGACCCTGAGGCCTGTGATCCGTCAGGGCCCCAGGGGGTCGTGGGGAGTGGCTGAGCCTCACCAGCAGGGGCTCAGCTCAGGAGTCCCTTGCCCCCACTCCTCTGCAGTCTCAGGAGCAGAGCCGGGGCCCACGTGTTTGCAGTAGTTTATTCATATTTTGTCACAAATGGCCGGGGAGGGGGTGCCGGACTCCTCCAGGCGACATAGAAAATAGGTCCAAGAGACAGGGTGGGGTGGGTGGGGCTCTGGGTATCTCGGGAGAGAGCCTGGGGGAGGGGAGAGGGCAGAGGCGGGGTGGGGCTGCCCCCTGCTGAGCCTGCTCATTCCCGGTGTGGGTACCCCCCCACCTGCAGGGGGAGCCTCAGGGTGAGGGTTGAGGGGGGCAGCCCAGAGCTTCCAGGGCAAGCCCTGCCCCTTGGCAGGGCCCAAGTACCCCCGAAGTGGACAAGGCCAGAGGCCCCGCCCTCCCAGGCCTGGCTGCCATGCCCACAGGCTGGCAGAGGAGCCCCTGCCCCTACTTAGAGCTCTGCCCACCCTAGTCCAAGGGGAGGGGGGCTCCGAAGGCGGGAGGTCCCCGCAGCAGCAGTTTGGGGGGTGGAGAGGAGGCTGGGGGCACCAGTGCCCCTCCCTCCCCAGGGCTGAGGCCTCCGCGGCCGAGGGGCAGGGCTGGGGGTGCACAGGCGTCCGGTCCGTTCTGGGCTCGCTCCCTGGCCGGCTTCCCCCTTAGAAACTCACCAACGTATAAACCATACTGCGGGGAGACGAGGCAGTGAGCCCAGTCCCGGGCAGCTCGGCAGCGTCTCGCGCCCCTCACCCCGGGTGGCCGCGGCCCTCGGGCCAGGGCATGGCTCCGAACAGGCCACGCCTGGGGTGGGAGGCATGCGGTGTGCTGCCTGAGCCTCCCCTCCCTGGCTTCCGGGGCGGCGCCAGCCTCACCTGTACAGGTAATAGAAGAAGGAGAGCAGGTAGAAGGCGAGTTTGCACCAGGACTCCTTCTGGCAGTAGTTGAGGATGTCGGCATTCATGATGGAGACCGCGTCGTACATGACCTCGGAGCCATCCGCCGGGCGGTGGAAGTACCTGGGCCCAGAACCTCACGGTCAAGGCGCTCACCCCCTCCTGCCCCGAGGCCCCCTCCCCCTTCCCCAAGGTAGCAGCTGCCCTCACCTCCAGAGGTGGTAGAAGAGAAGGGGGATGTTGAGGCCCAGGGTCACCCACTCTGCGGCGCACAGAAACATCAGGCAGAAGAGCCCGTGGATGGAGTATTCCGGGACCACCAGCTGGGGAGTGGGGAGGAGTCAGCGCCGTGCCAGGACACATGAGCTGCGAGTGGGCAGGTGCCCCCATAACCTCGACTACGAGGGCTTCGGGCTCCCACTCCCTCCTGGGCGGCAGAAGAGAAACCAGGAGGAAGGGCCCGCTCTGGGCGCGGTGGGGCGAGCTGAGCCCTCGCCTCCAGCCCCCTGGGCCCGACACTGACCTTCCTCAGGAGGCAGCAGATGCGTTCGATGTTTTTCAAACGCTCGCGCTGTATGGGGAGAAAAAGGCCGCGACTGGGGGTGGGGAGCTGACCAAGGACACTGGGGACCCCGCTACCCTCCTGCGCCCCCACCGCTCCGCACGTGGCCACCAGAGGGCGCCAAGCAGCCTCTGCGGTTGCGCGGCAGGGAAGCAGCCCCGCCGTCCCCATGGCGACCGTCACCATGGAGGGCCTTTCACCCGCGTCTCCATGGCAACGGTCCAGAACCTGGCAACGGCCGCCCCGCCAGGAGAAACCCGAGCCCTGAGCCCGCGCCAGGTGTTTGCTGGGGGCGGGGACAGACAGAGGAAGGGGCAAGGCCGCCGCCCCTCCCACACCCGGTCTTCCCTGCCCCGTCCCCGCCCGGGCCCGATGGCAAGACAGACGGACGGACACACCTCGGCACAGCACATGTATCACTTACTGCCCGCGCTGGGTTCCCCTGGTCGATGGGGTTCTTGAAGTCGGTCCGCAGCTCGTCAAAGGCTATGATCTGGGGGAGGGGCGTGTGCCTGTCAGGGTGGGCGGTAACTTCTGTCCCCCCACCTGACCTGCTGTGGGATAGGAATTTATACTTGCTGCAAAGATGGGGACCCAGGCACAGGTGGGGCAAGGCTGGGCCCTGGTCACACCACAGTCCGGAATGGAGCCCTGGGCCCACCCACTGTCTCCATCCAAAAACACCCCAGACCTCTGCACTGGGCCTGTGCTGAGTCCTGGGCCCCAGAGGTCGGGGGTGCACAGCCCAGGCTGGGGAGGCAGCGAGGAGAACTAGGAACTAGATTCCAGGGGGATGAGGCAGACAGAACCTGACCCAGCATGGAGGGGGTGACTGTTCAGGCTGGCTCTGAGTAGGTGTCTGTCTAGTAACAAGTGGGGGTGGGCAGGGCAGTCTGAGCAGCAGGAACAGCAGGTACAAAGGCAGAGGGTTGAAAGATTACAGAACGTTCAGGAAGCCACAGGTTCCCTGGGGCAGAGCTGAAGTGTGAGCAAGTGGGACTGAAGAAGGGTCATTGCCAGGCGGGCTCAGAGGGTGGCAGGGCGGGACAGCAGGTGTGTGTGTAGCCACAGACGGGCACGGAGCTGCAGTGGGGTGGTCAGGCTGTTTGCGCCGGGGCAGTAAAGCCAGCTCCGGTCCCAGCCAGGACACACATGAGGCTCAATCTTTGTGTTTATCGGCTCGTTTAATGCTTGCAAGAGCCTGACTAGCAGATGAGGACCACCATTTCTGTTTTACAGACGAGGGAAAGAGGCGAAGTGACTTGTCTGCGGTGCACAGCTGGTTAACGGCAAGTCAGGCTTCGGAACCGGCCTGACTGAGTCAGCCACTTGGTCACACTCAGGCCGGACAGTGGGAGGACTGCTGGAGTGTGCTGGGGAGGGGAAGGCGGTCAGAGCGACAGTGGCAGTGGAGTGGAGTGGTGACGGCTCGGGAGCAGGTTAGGGCAAGATTCAGGGGCTTGAGTGGCAGTGAAAGGGGGGCGGCAGCCTGTTGTGCCTTCCGGGTGGGGGCATGGGGGATGGCAGTGTCTTCACTAGGGTGGGGAACTCTTAAGCGGAGCAGGTGTTTGAGGGGGTGATGGGAACAACCTGGGTGGGGGAGAGGAATGGGAGGATGGCTGGCAGGGGGGCCTTCTGGGGTGCCCTTGCCTCAACACTAGTCTTTAAATGAGGCCTGGGCCCACCACCCCCAAACCTCCCAGACCCCAGACGGCTCAGAGGGAAAGAACATGGGCTTCCCGGAGGGAGCTGAGGCCATCTGGAGCGGCCCCCTCACCCCCCACTGACTCTGGGCAGCCCCTTGCTTGCCAGGCACAGCAACAGGGTCCAGCAGGGAGCGGAAGGGTGCCGTCTGTCTGCCCCAGAGCTGGCACCACCAGCAGGCGGCGGGTGTCGCGCCTCCCACCCCCCAGGCTGCCTGGCGCTGACTCAGCCCCCTGGAACAAACAATCCCCCACGGTGACAGCTGACACACGTCACTCACCACCAGGGTTGCTTAGCGACCAGTGGGGCCTTGGGCTCAGGGTCTGGGGTCCTGCCCTGGAAGTTGCTAATTCTTACCAGCTTTGGGTTGAGGTCCACACACCTCGGCTACCCCCTGCCCCCCCCCCCCACCTTGGCAGGCCTGGCTCTGAGCATCTGATGTCCACACAAACAGCTCACTTTACTGATGAGGGACCTGCTGAAATTAGCCCACTCAGTGGCTGAGCACACACGATGCCAGACACATAGTAGGTGTTCAACAAATACCTGCTGAGAAAACACGGCCCTTTCTCCCACCCCAGAAGCCTTGCAGGGCTGAGCTGGGGTCTTCACCTTGACTCGAAAAGCTGCCCAGATTCCTCAGGAATCTGGATACAGGTGCCCCAGGGACTGTAGGAGGCCCTGGGTGCGCAGAGGGGTTGGAAAGGGGTTTCCTGAATCCCAGGCCCTCCCCGCGGGAGAGTCCTAGGGATGAGATAGGAGACTCTGAGCGACCAAGATGGACCCAGGGGGGACGGAGCGAGGGAAAGAGGAAGAAAAAGAAAAGAGGAAAGAGAAGAAAAAGGCAGAGACCCACAGAGAGGCAAGGCCCGAGAAGTGGGTTTGAAGGTGCCTGGGCTCCTCTGGAGGGGCAGAGAAGGGCAGTCTAAGAGTCCGGAGTCACAGTCTGGCAAGAGGGGTCTGCAGGGGGTGGGAGGGGGCAAGGGTCAAGGGCCAGGAGGGGGCAGGCAGCAGGTCCCAGGAAGAGAGAGGAAGTGGGGAGGCCAGTACTGAAGCAGGTGAGGCAAAGGGGAGGATGTGCAGGAAAGGAAGGGTGCAGTGGGAGAATGAAAGGGTAACGCCCCCCCAAGGGATGAAGATCAGGGAGGTACAGAGGCTGGCGGCAGAGGGGCAGGAGCAGGAAGCTCAGGGACAGAGAGGCTGAGGGCTCTGAAGAAGCGCTGGAGGCTGCCGGCTCCAGTGAGAGGAAGAGCAGCAGGGCGCGGGGCAGGCCCCGGAGAGAGGCCAGGACAGGGGCCTCTGAGGTTGTCAGGCTGAGGCATGAGAGATGGATATTGTGAAGGTGGGAGGCCAGGCCACAGGGAAAGGACCCAGGAGAAAGTGGGGGCAGGAAGAGGAGGGCAGCTGGAAAGTGGGGAGGAAGCTGGTGGAGGGGGAGCCCAAGATGAGCTGGGGGAGGGGGTTAAGGCTCTGGTGCTGCTGAGAGCCAGTTGCTGGGTCAGGGAGGGGGTTGGGAAGGGAAAGGGTTAATGGGCTCCGCGAACTGTGGGTCCTGTAAACAGATGCAGTTGCCGTAGCAACCGGCTTCCATCACTCCAGCTGGAAAAACCCACAAAGGGTGGAGGGGCAAGCAGACAAACTGCCCGATGGACAAATGGGGGCGACTGGGGGGGGGTGAGGAGAGGAAGGAACAAGAATCCCGGTACCACTCCCCACACCCCAAAGCTGCAAGGGGCAGGGGAGGGGGTCAGGGGCCGACTGACATTCCCACAGACAAGCGGGGGCGGCGGAGGAAGGGGGGCGCCCGGCAAGGCAGCCGATGGTGGGGGGTGTTAATGGGGGCGAGGATATGCCGACTGAAGGCGGATAGCGGAGAGG